TTCGAGAGGGCGCCGACGTCGGGAGGTCGACTAAAGAGGTCGACTAGGGAGGTCCACCTGTGGAGGGCTTCGACTTGGTGACACCCACTTGGGGAGGCCGTCCTAGCGTCGTCGGCTGGCAGCTGTGCTGGTCGACCTGGAGTTGATCGACCAGGACTGTCGTTTGCCTGGAGCTGGTCGACCAAGTGTGTAGTCGACCTGGTGTGGTCGACTGGAGGTGGTCGTCGACTTGGGTGGTCAACGGGCACGTGATGGAGCAGCTAGTCGACGTGGTTGCCCGGTCGACCAGGTTACCCGGGCGACGGGGTTCTGCGGAGGAGCGCGACAGTCGCCCATGTGGTTTTGGCGAGACCGACCTCGGAGGTGGTATCCCGAGGTCGACGTGGCTGATCCGGTGCAGTCGTCAGCACGGGGACGATTTGGTGTGTGCGCTGTGCAGGTAACGAGGCACAGCACGCCAATCATCTGCGAGCACCTGCGAAGCAGGTGCGCTGCTAACCTGCGGGTGCAACGTTGGGATGCCGTCAACTTGCAACTCTGGCGGGCCGCGACTTTGCACTGCTGGAGTGCGGTCTACCAAGTCGTGCTGGCACGTGGTCGACCGTGCTGCGCTGGCAGTCGACAGACCTGCATGCTAGTTCTGATGTTGTCAGTCTTGCCAACCTTGTTGCTATCATTGTGAATCATTGTTGTCAAATTTTCCTAGTGAAACTCTTGCCAATTTCCCCCGTGAACTAGCAAGCAGTATGTGCACAAGGAAACGACTAAGGAACGAACGCAGAGATCACTCCTACCCCGTGTCTAGCCCATAGTCTAGCTCCCATTGATAAAGTTATCTCCCCATTCAAAGGTCGCCAGCCGCCGCCGCCGCCGCCCGTACTCATTAATGGGGAATCTGCGTACGAAGTTGAAGCAGTTTTGGCGCATCAACGACGACGCAACTGCACCTTGGAGCTCTTGATTCGTTGGAAGGGCTTTGATCCCTCCGAGGATAGCTGGGTACCTGAACATGGCATGGATAACGTCCGTCGTCCTCTCCAGGACTACCCCGTCAAGCAGGGTATTACTTCTACCACCCAGATTTGAGAGGGGGAAGTGTGAGAGGACGTCCCCGTTATAATATTTTCCCATTATCATATTTTTCCTTTATGTTATTCTCATTTTTTTCCTCTTTTTTCCGTCTATATTTTATCTCAAACGGCTTACTATCCTAATTTCTAAAGCTATCTGTTTTATTTTTCACTTATTTCCTATTTTTCTCACTACGGCACCGACATCGCCGACAGTGGTGTTTACGGTCTAATATAGGCGAAATCCCAAGTGCCAACAGCCATGGTGCCTGTACACATTTGTGATTGTACTAGCGGGAAGGGTATGTTCCCGAATGTTCGTTCTATCTATTTTATCCTTGAAATTTCCAAGTATATATACGCTTTGTATTCAGTTTTTGTGACACGTTCGATTGAGAATTCGATCCTGTGACAGAGCGAGCCGGTGAAGTGAGGCGGGCGATGCAGCCAGATCTTCTCGTGCAGGCTCCCCTGAAGGAACGCTGTAGAGAAGTCCAAGGCTCGTAGTCGCGCTGAGCCGCGATGTGCAGCAACACCAGAAGAGTGGTCATCTTCGGAGTGGGAGCGAAGGTCTTGAAGAAGTCTACCCCCTCGCGCTCACTGAAGCCTCTCGCCACAGAGCGCGACAAGAACATCGGTGGTGATCCAGGCGGGCGCTTCACCTTGTAGAGCCACATGCCACTGACGACGTTCGAACCAGGTGGGGGACGGCGTCGACGTAGGTGCCTGTGGACCTATAAGATGCCATCTCTGCCCCCTCAACTGCTATCCAGTACGAATCCCAGGGTCCCGAGACCGCTCGGTGTGAGTGCGAGGGATCGGGATGTGGAAGTACGCGAAAGGGTATAGCAGGCGCAGTGGAAGACGGCAGAGGAGTACGCGAGGAGGAGGAGGCAAGAGGGAGAGAGGAGAGGAGAGGAGATAAGAACGCAGGAGGAGGTGAGTGAGGGATGAGGAGAGGAGGTGGGGGGGTGGCCGCGGCGTCCCCTCTTACTAACCCCCTTTTACGAAGTGGGGTGGGGTTGAGTGGGGGATGAGGAGAGGAGGTGGGGGGGTGGCCGCGGCGTCCCCTCTTACTAACCCCCACATCCCCAACCCCAATCAACCACCCCCCTTTAACCTCACCCCCCATCTCAATTGCCCCCTGGAACCGCACTCCCCCCCCCTTGTTCTTCCTCCAGACCCCTCCCTACCCACGATGGTCCCTGTACAGTCCTTCACAGGTGGGGCTGCTGGTTACAGGTGGGGCTGCTGGTCACAGGTGGGGCTGCTGGTCACAGGTGGGGCTGCTGGTCACAGGTGGGGCTGCTGGTCACAGGTGGGGCTGCTGGTCACAGGTGGGGCTGCTGGTCACAGGTGGGGCTGCTGGTCACAGGTGGGGCTGCAAGTCACAGGTGGGGATGCTGGTCACAGGTGGGGCTACTGGTCACAGGTGGGGCTGCAAGTCACAGGTGGGGCTGCTGGTCACAGGTGGGGCTGCTGGTCACAGGTGGGGCTGCTGGTCACAGGTGGGGCTGCTGGTCACAGGTGGGGCTGCTGGTCACACGTGGGGCTGCTGGTCACGGGTGGGGCTGCTGGTCACAGGTGGGGCTGCAAGTCACAGGTGGGGCTGCTGGTCACAGGTGGGGCTGCTGGTCACAGGTAGGGCTGGTGCCTGGTGCTGGTGCTGGCGGCTGGCGCTGGTGCTGGTGCCTGGTGCTGGCGTGGCGGCGCTGGAGCTGGTGCTGGTGCTGGCGGCTGGCGCTGGTGCTGGTGCCTGGTGCTGGCGTGACGACGCTGGAGCTGGTGCCTGGTGCTGGTGACTGGCGCTGGTGCTGGTGACTGGCGTCGGTGCTGGTGCTGGTGCTGGCGGTTGGCGCTGGTGCTGGTGCAGCTGATGGAGCGCGACGGGTGGGACGAGCTGCAGACGGGCTACATGCCGGGCGGGATCTGACGGTGTGCAGGGGACGGGCTGCAGCAGCAAAGGGCGCGCGAGCGCTGGTGCGATCGCCGGTGCGCTGGCGGTCGTCGCTGATGTGCCGCCGCCACTCCCTTCCCCCCTTGTCTCTCCCCCCCACAGCGTTCCGCCGCCACTCCCTTCCCCTCCTCTCTCTCCTCCCCACAGCGTTCCGCCACCACTCCCTTCCCCTCCTCCCTCTCCTCCCCACGGCGACCGCCGCTGCACACGCAAACAGTCGCGACGGGGGGGGGGTGACGGGCAGGGGGCGGGGGGAATGCGACGGGCAGAGCGACGGCGGGCGAAGGAGCGGTTGGGGCGATCGCCGGTGCTCTGGCGGTCGTCGATGGCGTTCCCCTGTCACTCCTATCCCCTCTTCCCTCTCCCCCCCATAGCGTTCCGCCGCCACTCCCATCCCTTCTTCCCTCTCCCCCCCACAGCGACCGCCGGGGCGACGGGCGAGGTGCAGGGTGGCGCTGGCTGCAGTCGATGGCGCAAACGCGATCGCGGGCCGCTGGCGACTTCGCTGGCGGGTCGCTGGCGGCGGGTCCGCTGACGTTCGCCATAGCGTCCGCCGCGCCCGTCGCGCTGAGAGCCGCGACGAGGCAGGCGACGACGATGCGACGGGCAGGCGACGGGGGGGCAGCGCGAGCAGCAGAAAAAAAAAACGCAAGGTGCGGATTTCGCGCCACTAACTGTAGCAGTCGCGAAATGTGGTGGGCCCATAAACGAAATAGGTCCTAGGAGGGACCGCTCTGTTACCAAGTTACGAGACTAACTTAGCTAGGAACCGAGGTTTAGCTAGGGCCTAGGCTTAGTAGCCTAGGCCAAGGGAGTGTCGAGTAGTTTGTGCCAAGGAGAATCGAGAATGATTGGTGTTCACTACAAAACCAAAGGTACAAATAGCAAACTAACAAAGGTGCACCACCAATGTTACGAAGGCATAACTACACTAAAGCTAGCGCTACAGGCAGTTATACATATATATGAAATATATATTTTGGACAAAACCAAATTGGGTTGGCAAGTGTGGCCAACTTGGGTCAGGTCGATTTTAAAGGTTGGGAAAATGACAGAGGTGAAAGATGGGTTCTTATAGGGAGGGAATCTTTTGTGCTTGTTGGGTTTCCTTGGTTTGGGGATCCTTGGGGACCTTCCCTCCCGTCCTCCTCATCCCCTCCTACCTGGTTTCTAGCTACTCTAATTCCCTTGTGTGGATCTTGGGAGAACAATTGTGATTGAGTTAAGTTTATGTGGCAGCATTGTTAGAAGGAAATGCTGCCATGAGCAACAAAATGTCTGCGCTGGGATTCGAACTCGTGACCTCCAAATTTGTCCTGAAAGTGTCTCAGGACAGATTCAGGACAGTTCCGCTAAGGCACTGGTTATGATGCACGCGAGTTTCGAACTGGAGACCTTTCGATTTAAGTGTCCCGAAAGTGTCAGGACGGATTGGGGACAGTTTGGGGACAAATTGGGGACAGTTTGGCGAAATCGATCTCGGGTCGCGTTTGGTTTGAAACTCGGTAGCAAAGTGGACGACGGAATTCGCACGAGAGTTACAGTCGGTGGTCGACGGAATTCTGGTCGCGGAAATTCTCGTCTACGGAATTCCAGTCAATGGAATTCGCTCGGCGAAATTCAAGGCTCCGAATTTCGCGTCGACGAAATTCAACGTGCGACCCGGGTCGACACTTTCTTGTGTGCTTTTATTTTGTATTGCGTCCTAGTCTAAAACCAGAGAGCACAAACCAGAAATCAACTAAGTCATTATCACTGCTATGTTTGTGTGTATCTCTGACTATAGTGGACCGTTTCCTGCAATCTTTGGTGCGCTAGAATTGTGCTTTCAATCTCTATCAAGTTGCTATAGTAGTGGAATTCTACATGGTATCAGAGCTGCGTTATCTGCGTCGATCAAACTAGCGGCTTGATTCCGTCCTCCCATCACTTCGTTCCCACGTTGGTGTGGCCGACGCTCGTTTTGACCGCGGATGGAGTGGTTAACAAGCATCGAGGGCCTGAATGCCCGTCAGGAGCTGGATGCGTCCGTTCGTGAGCACCACCCTAACTTGCTTGATGAGGAGGTCGACCTCATTGTGGACGGTCGTCTACTACGCATGGTTCGGGAGCGCGCGGCGGAGCAAGCACCTGCGAGCGGCCAGCAAGGAGGAACCGGTGAAGGAGGAGCTGTGCAAGAGGCTCCAACTGCGGTGGGCGTTGGTGGAGGAGCTGTTGCGCCGACCATTGATACGGGAATGATCGGGGCGAGCTACGGCCAATTCAAGTTTGGAGTAGAGCACATCTCCGTGACGCCGCTGCTGGAGGGAAGGCACGACCTTACCGCATGGGTCAGCGCCATCCGACCTCAGCTCCAGTGCGCTGGTTTGTGGCAGTTTTGCAACGGGACAGCACCAAGCCCGGCCCCGAACAACCCTTTGCAACGAAGGGAGTACGCAAAGGGCCAAATGCTTGCATTCATGGTGCTGAACCGATGTGTTTCTCCACCCATCCGAATGTCTATCTCTGGTTTCTCTCAGCAAGAGAAAGCCGGGCAGCTAGCATGGGCATATATCTTGTCTACTTATCAAGCTCGTGATGCCCTCCACGCTTCCCTACTTCAGACCCAGTTAGCCCAACTCAGGAAGGGAGATGATGAGACGGCGGAATCCTACTGCAATAGGGCCCGCACCATCCGAGCGGAGCTGCTGACCATTGGACAGGAGGTCCACATGGCCACGTTTGCCGCTCATGTGCTGAAGGGCCTGCCACCGGATGACGGATTTCTTCGCCGCAAGCTCGATATTTCCAGCCCTGACATGACGGTGGAACGTGTGTGCAGCGAGGTGTTGATGGAGGAGCAGACTCTCTCCATCGAACAGAGCTACAAGCAGATCACCAATGATGCATCGGCTTTCTCTGGCGATGTCAATACGATCGTGGCTACAACGGGGATCAACGGGAAGGAAGGGAAAGGAGGAAGGGAGCAGATGGACAAGAAGAAGGATGGCAAGCGGGAGAAGAAGCGAGCCCCCTTCAAGGGGCGCTGCTGCAACCGCAATGAGGAGGGGCACATGGCTGCCAAGTGCCCCAACAAGAAGAAGGATACAACACGCGCGGCAGCCGCGAACGTAGCCGAAGGAGACGGGAAGGGCGTGGCGCTCACCGTCGCGTGTTCGGCTGCAAAGTTGCTGGCCGACGACAAGGACTTGTGGTTCCTTGACTCTGGATGCTCCCAACACATGACCGGCCGCAAGGAGTGGTTCACGGTGATCCGTGACCCATCTGCGACGAAATCCGTCAAAGGGTTTGATGGGTCCATGCAGGAAGTTGCCGGTGTTGGCGAGGTTTTGCAGTAGGGCACTAACGGCTTGCGTGTGACCCTGCATGATGTCCTCTTTGTGCCACGAATGAAGGCCAACTTGGTCTCTCCTGGGCAGCTCACGGACAAAGGAGCAAATCTGCAAACCGAAGAAGGTGTCACCCGCGTCATCGCATTGGGAGGACAAGTGGCTGCAACGGCACGCTACCGCCATCGTCTTCTCTGCCTTGACCTGAAACTGTGGCCAGCAAGCAACGGCACAACGGCAGCAGCGGCATGCAACGGCACAGTGGTTACATCGGCGTGCAACGGCATGATGACTGGAGCGGTATGCAACGGCACGGTGGCTGCAGTGACATGCAATGGCATGACTAAGGCGGTTGCTGACGGAGCGGCCAGCCTTAAGACGTATGCGGTGGGCTCCAAGGCAACGCCCAACCTGTGGCACGCTCGCCTTGGACACGTCCACTTCGATGCGGTGAAGCGGACAGCCACGAGCGGTGGCGTGTTAGGCATGGACTGGGAGAAAGGAGGTGAGGATATGCCGTGCACCGCTTGCCATGAAGCCAAACTCACTCGCGGATCATTTCCGCTGCACGACGAGCGCGAGGAGCAGGTTCTTGGGCTGGTCCATACTGACGTGTGCGGTCCATTTCAGACCCCAGCCATGGATGGAAGCAGGTACTACATTCTGTTCGTGGACCACACCTCACGTTACACCAGGGGGAAGACGCTGAAGCTGAAGAGCGACGCGCTTGCTGCCTTCAAGGAATGGCTTCCCGAAGCTGAACGCCAAACCCGAATGACGCTGAAGGTGTTGCGGTCGGACCGGGGAGCGGAGTTTATGTCGCATGAGTTTCTGTTGCTGCTGAAGGGCCGAGGAATCTTGCGTCAACTTTCCTGCCCCTCGACCCCCCAGCAGAACGGTGTGGCTGAACGCCGCAACCGTACGGTAACCGAGGGCATGCGTGTGATGTTGGGGCACATGGCGGTGAAAGCACACTGGTGGCACTTCGCTTTCCAGCAGTTCTTGTGGGTGGTAAACCGTGTTCACCAGTCCACCCTGCCCCATGGTGTGACCCCTCATTTGGTGGTGTTCAAAATCAAGGCCGATGTGTCCATGGTCCGTGTGTTTGGGTGCATGGTGCAATACCTCATTCCTGAGCATGAGCGTGAGGGGAAGCTTGCAAGCAAGACTCGTTGGGGCATGCACTTGGGCATGAGCATGGAAAGCAAGGGATGGCGTGTGGTGGATGTTGAGTTAAAGCGCATGGTCATCACCCAGGATGCACGTAATTATGAGGACATGTCACTTGAACGGCGGCAGAAGTGGCGTGCACGCGTGGGTGACGAGAATGACCAACCCACACCACCCTTTGCTTTAGTCCCATCTCTCTTTCCTGAGCCCCACGACCCCGAGCAGAATCCGCCGCCACCACGTACCGTCATCGTGGTCCTTGCGGAGATTCACTCGACAAAGGTAGTGATCTAGACTACGGGGGGAAAGGCACGAACTACTAAGAGTGATCGTAGCTTTTCTTGCGTTCCTTAGCACTTGCACATTCACGGGAGAAGTTGGCAAGAGTTTCTCTAGCAAAGTTGGAATTACAGAATGGTTGTACAAGCAATGACAAAAAATGACTACATCAGGCACCTAGATACTCTGCACCTGGCATGGTCGACCGCCAGCACAGCTTGGTCGACCGCCTGCCAGCGTTGCGTAGAGCAGCCGCGCCAGCACTACAGAAAGGCGACCTGCCAACACTGCAGGTGGACGGCGTGCCAACGCTGCAACAGAGCGGCTGTCCAGCGTTGCCCTGTAGAAGACAGCAGTGTGCACGCTCGCAGATGCGCGCAGACGATTGGCCCGACTTGCCTCGTTGGGCATCCGTCGGCTGTTGTCTGCGCCTGACGAGCCACATCGACTTTGGGATACCAGCCCGAAGTCGCCTGCGCCATCGCGACCTCCACGAAATTCGCGTGCCTCCGCAGAACTCGTCGAGTTGGTTACCTGGTCGACCTGTTCGACCACCAAGTGCTCTGGTCGACCACCAGTGCCTCTGGTCGACCACTGGGTCCCTCTGGTCGATCACCACGTCCCTCTGGTCGACCACAGCTCCCGTTGAGCTACCCCCTGGTCGACGGACCCCTTTCGTCAACCAGAACTGGCAGATGATGTCGCCGAGCTCCCCTCTTCGATTGCTGCTTAGTTGTCAGGTCGACGGACTGCTCCGTCGACCTCCCGGTCGAACTGCAGGTCCTCGTCGACGGCCCACCCGTCGCCCAGACCAGTCAGTTGCAGCTGTCGAGCTCCCTGGTCGACAGCAACACCACAGCGGTCCCCTGCAGCTCGACGAAGCCTGTCGAGCAGCTCTCCCACTGTAAACGGTCGGCTGCTACTCCCGTACATCCGACCAAGTCGTCGGCGTTTCCCAAGCGAGGGTGGGGCCAACACTCCATTCCTGTTAACACTCCCCTGCCGCGCTCACGCTTGGGCCTCCAGCCCACACGGCAGTATTCCACGGAGAAAACTCGTGCTCGACATGCACCCCACACACAGCAGGCCGTCACCGCACCAGCCGTGCAGAAGGGCGCGGCACCTACTGCTGCACCTCGTCGTCGCCGTCGCCGACGTAGGCCAGACGAACTTGGCCGATGGCGACAGAGCACCGGTTGAAAGCCGGAAAATGTAGCGCCTTCGTCAGGAAGTCCGCCGGCTGCTCGGTGGTCGGGATGTAGTTCAGCACAAACTTCCCGCGCCTCACCATGTGCTGCAGCCAGGCGTAGCGTCGCTCCATGTGCTTGAGGTTGCCCGTCAGCCCCAAGCCCTCAGCGACCGTGATTGCCGACTTGTTTTCCACGCAGAGGATGGTCGGCTTCCCAGCGTCGAGCAGCTTGAACTCTGCTAGGAGGAAGTGTTATAGTCACAATAGGCTTCAATGTGCCTAAAACGAAAGATAGAGTGCACGGTCGGATTTCTGCACAGCGGCTTTAAACGTTCATATCGTCCTGGTCACAGATTCAAATGACCTGATTCAACTTGGATCTGGAGCTTCTTAACGTCGCCTACAATAGGCAATTTAGATCGCACGATTTGACCAAGTATTGACGACATAGCGTCGGTTTGAACGAACGGCACTATGGCAGCCACTATAGTCTTAGAACACAACTTAGGAAGAGTTACGAGTTGGGAATGACTCCCAGCTCCTACAAACCCCAAGAGCCGAGGTACAGTGATGTGGAACAGTGCTACACTGTCCCCAACCAAGAAGGGTCTCGAAACTACCCTCCACAAGGGTCTACACCAACCGAAATATTACAGTACACATTGTAATGTAACTATCTTCAACATCTTGAAGTGTACCCTTTTGGCGAGCTTCGAAATCACTTGAGGCTTGACACCAAGGCTCGGATTCTTCATCACAAACTCATCCTTGAGTTCTTGATGGATCTGCTGCACACACCTGCGACACGTCGAACGTTCGACAAAGGACAAAATAGAAACCGCGCACGAGACACACGACAAAATAGAAACCGCGCGGGACACACAAATGATCGCGTAACACGCGACTAACGATAACTCGCTATTGACTCGACACACACACACTCTGTTGCTGCTGCTGTGGTACAAGGCGCTCAACGACGTGCTGGTCGGCGCCGGGTGGAAGAAGAGTCAGATCGACGAGGCTTTGTACTTCAAGGTCGGCGACAACGGAGTGGCCTGCTGGGTGCTGGTCTACGTCGACGACCTGCTCGCCGCCAGCAGCAGCACCGCGATGCTGAAGGAGCTGAAGGAGCTGCTGGAAGCCGCCTTCGAGTTGCGGGAGATCACGCCGGTGTAGAAGTACCTCGGGCTGGAGATCGTGCGCGACAGGCCCGAGAGGAACCTGTGGCTGCACCAGCAAGGCTACGCCGACAAGCTGCGCAGGCGGTTCATCAACGAGGAGCAGACCGGGCGCACCCCAAAGACGCCGGTCTCGGTCGACGCCTACGCCGAGCTCACCTTCGACGACGAGGAGGCGCAGGAGCGCCAGGAGGAGGAGTACCGGCAGAAGGTCGGCTCGCTGCAGTTCGCGGCGACGATGACGAGGCCGGACATCGCCTGTGCCTGCAGCAAGCTAGGGAGCGGCCTCACGGTGAGGAGCGACCAGCACTGGCGTGAGGTCGACCGCTGCCTCGCCTACCTCGCCAACACACGTGACACTGCCCTGGAGTTCGGCGGTGGACCTAAGACGCTGGAGTTGGTTGGCTACGTGGACGCCGACGACGCCGGCAACAAGCAGAACCGGACGAGCATGGGTGGCTACGTGTTTGTCTACGGAGGGGCCGCGGTCTCCTGGTCGAGCCAGCGCATCATGTGCGCGACGCTGTCGTCGACCGAGTCGGAGTACGTGGCGGCCACCGAAGCCGGCAAGGAGGGACGCCGCCTTCGCTTCCTTCTTGCAGAGTTCCGGCAGCTGGACGCCGGGACACCGACGGTCCTTCGCGTGGACAACAAGTCGGCCATCACGGTCACCGAGGGCATGTTGTTGACGGGCAACCTCAAGCACATGGAGCGGCGACAGGCCTGGCTGCAGCACATGGTGAAGCGCGGGAAGTTCTTGCTGAAGTACATCCCGATCGCTGAGCAGCCAGCCGACTTCTTAACGAAGGCGCTGCAACCGGTGCTCCGTTGCAGTCGGCCAGGTGCACCTGGCCGACGTAAGCGACGGCGACGACGATGTGCAGCAGTAGGTGCCATGCCCTCTTGCATGGCTGGTGCGGTGACCGGCGTGGTGTGTGTTGTGTGCACGCCGACGGGCTATTCTCCGAGCGGTGCTGCCGTGTCGGCTGGGGGCCCAAGCGTGTACGCGGCAGGGGAGTGTCAACGGGAACGTTGTTAGGCCCCGTCCTCGCTTGGGCGGAGCCGACCTCGTGGTCGGGTGTGCGGGGGATGCAGCCGGCCTATAGCAGTGGGCACGGGCGCCGAGCTGGAGGGCTCCTGACTGGAGGGCGCCGAGCAGGAGGACGCCGTCCTTGGCGCCTGGACGCCGACCT